CGACCAAAACCCGAGTGATTAGTGAGTTTAAAGGTTTTCACAATGGTGATGCCTTTTCAACTCTCACTCAAGTGATTTACCCAATACCCCAACTTGGGTATTTATAGGAAAAATAAGAGAGTGAAAAGCTCTCCCATCAATGTGGGAGAATTTGATTTTTTCATTTTATTTTAAAGCTAAAATAAAATTAATAATCAAACTAATAATAAATCAACAAGTGGCAAGCTCATGTGAGAGGTTAGGTGAGCACCATTTGGAGGAGGGGAGATCCAAACTTGCTCCCCACTCTCTCCCTCACCTTGCGCCACTTGGCAACTCCCACTTGGGCACTAATGCACCCAAGTGGGCTTCCAATTTTGTAACTTCCCTTCTCTCGGCCCAGCTATCCCCGCAACACAAATGTGGGCTGATGCTCGCATTCTCTCGGCAAGCGCCCATGCACTTGCGTGCGGGCTCTGTAGCCGAGAGGTGCTGCTACCATTCCGCGCACCTAGTGCGGGCTGCTAGCTGCATATTATTTTCATGTCTCGTCTTTTACCATTTTTCGACTCGACTTCCGATGTTCGATTTCGACGCTCTAAGCTCAAATTCCCAACGTCTAAATATTAATTACTCTGTTGACTTATTAATTAATTCATAATTAATTCGTCGCTTCGGTTCGTTAGTTGATTGGGTGTGACCCGAAAGGTTCAGTCAAGATTAAGCTGTAATATTAATTATGCATTAATATTACTGATCGAAAGCGGCCTCCACCCAAGCATTCCGATCACTTGAATTTACTGAATGTATTAGCTTTCTAATAATTCCGAACCCACTAACGGAATAGTACACTTGTTTGAAGGACACCATTCCTTTCAATCTCCCACTTGTCCTTCCGGACAAGTGCGCATTTAGTGTACAACCTTTTTCGTATGTCACTTAATGTCTCTTCATGAACTATAAGGTAAGATTATTTCATCATCCTTATTATGTCCAGGAGTGTTTCTCGATTTCGAGTCCGACTGTCAATAAACAGATGATTTCTAAATCCATCCGAGCACGGCCATGCATTTTTACAGTCTCGCTCTACGAGAGGCCTTGTATACAACAAAGACATCTTCCCTATTTTAGTGGGGACATTCCCAGTCTTGTAATGTAGCTCTTCTTATTGAGAGGACCTAGCCGCCCGAATGTTGTCGTTATAATCCCCTATTACGGCAGACGTTTGACAACATCAAAGCGGACTAGTACTCAAACAAGAGAACTCACAATACTCATGGTCGGGGAAATAGGTTCCGATAGCCATAATGAGAAGTATACTTATGACGATTTTTAATCTCTTAAAGTATTCTCATAGGTCGATCCAGTATGGTTCTAAACCAATACCTGTGCAAATGATTTATGACAATCATATCCTCGTAGCACAAGAAACGGTGCTATAAATCAGACTACACACTAATCTCAATTGGTCATTAATCGTCCATTGTTTAAATGACCTTGATTAGGGATAATTTTTTATTATAATATTCAATGTTCATTTAATAGGTGTTTCCTTACCAAGACTGGTCTTGATACCCTATTTTGAATATTCCAAGAATCGAATGAACTCATTATTTAATTCTAAACCACAATTAAATAGCAAACGGGGTGATAAAATTGCATGAAATTTTAAATTACTCCAAAACCTGAATGGTTCATCTTATGATAAATGGTTTTTCCGAATGTTATAAGAGTATCACTCTTTATAAAACATTATACAAATCACACCCATATCTAATGTGGTTGATTTATTTCATGCAATTGTGAATGTTGTCGTTCACTCATTGAATAGATTTAGTTATAATTACTTTGCTAATCTTAGCATCTTCATTACTGATCACTTTCATAATAAGATGATAAAATTTGAGAGTGTCATGGATTATATGTGATTTAGGATTTGTTGTCCAGGTGATGTCTCCCACTCACTTTCATGATTGAGACCTTCAACTTGACAACCTACAATCATTAACGTTCAGCAACAAACTTTCCATAGAACATCTTCTTTATTATCGCCATTAAGGCAACAATAATCTCAACATATATTTTAGTAGACTTCTTGATGATGCTTTGCTTGGGTTTCATTCCAAATGGCTCACAATGATTTGGGATACCCTAATAACTTGTGATCATGGAAATTTACCTTAAATTCCTGTATGTACATTAAAAATGGATCCACGTCCATGTTACCATTCTCAAGCCACGACTTATTGTTAGCTCGTGCTTATAAATGGCTTCCTTGTTTAGGATCTAATCCTTGTTAAGGTTTGTGCTTGCAACATCAATTCTCAAATCGTATTTGTTTCCACAAGTCAAGAACTCATCCTGTTACTTATCCAAGTACTTTGGATGTTCTTGGCCATAATCTAACGATCTATTACATATATTCAGGTTGATTGGTACCACATACATACTTCAGATGCTCTAAGAAAGTAGGTCGTGCGACGATTCCATATCACAGTGTACATGATGGATTAAATTGCAAAGTAATTTTCAATCTTATTCCATCAATTTGTCATTTTAGCTCATTCAGTTTCACTGAGTCTTTGCTAAACAGTTTGCTGTGGAATATGGTTGAAAGTCTCTATTAGAGTCTTTCATGTTTGACTTAGTATTTAGCCTAGCTTATACTTAGTTCAAACATTTACTTAGTATTATACATACGGGTCGAAAGTCTTTCAAAGTCCTTCAATTTATGTTTAACACGGTAAACTCCTTTACGCGTTCAAACATTTTATTAAGTCCATATAATAGAACTAAATACCCAATACGTATAAAGTATCGTCTTTTGTTTGGTCCATTGTCAAAAATATTTTCAAATCTAAGCATTTAGCATTTTGATAGTTATTTCACAACAGAGTTCGTAGACTTATTATATAATTTACTTTTGCTCCCACTAAACGTCTTATTCATAAGAATTTCTGTGTTTTTGCATGAGTCAATGCTCTTATTAACTTCATGAGAAAACACACTCCAATTCCTATATGCAATGCTTCCTTTAATCCCGTGACAGATTCCTTGAGCTTGCTTTCAAATCTAGCATTATTTAGATTTTCAAAACCCTTAGACTATTCCATAGTCACTTCAAAAATCCTATTTCGAGAAGGTGGTTTTGGTATCTATTTTTCCATATTTCATGTGAGAAATTTTGCTGAAACAATCACGAAAAGACTTTAGCATTCCGATTGGTGAATAGATTTTTATTAAAATCAAATCCGTGAATTTAATTGTATCCTTTTCAACCAATATAGCTATGTATGCATATACATTTCCACATTTGTTAGTTTTCTCCTTGAAAAACTTATTTGCAGTCGATGGGTCTTTCACCCTTTATGCAAATTAATCAAGTTTCAATCATGATTATCCAACATGGAGTCTATCTCGGATTTTTATGGCCTCTAACCATTATTCGGAATTTGGATTTGTCGTAGCTATCTTGCAAGACATTATTCCTTAGTAAATAGTATGCTTGTAAGTCTTAGGTTTATTTCTAACTTAATAGAAATTTATAGGATTCAATCAAAGCCTTTAGTGAATTCTATACCTATATGGGGAAATTGCATCAACCACTGAGTTTCAAGGCGCTTCCAAAGCCCTTTTATTATGTTGATCTTACTCAAACATTTCTGATGTTTTTTGAGTAATGAATTCTCTTTTAAGGCACTTGTAAAGTCCTTTTGAGTATTCTTGATCAAGCATTCTAACGAATTCCTTTTAAAGTCTTCTGAGATTCTCAATTCTTGTTTGTTGCTAAGCTCGATTGTCATCGAGTTCATTTTCCTCCCACTTGTCGTTTTGGAAATGTGTTACTTTCTAGAAAGACACCACTTAGAGCAACAAACACTATGTTCTCAATTAGGTTGTGGAGGTAATGTTTATGGTCTCACTTGAATGCTTACAAAGAGACATGTATATTGTCTTTGGGTAAAAGTTCGTTGTGAGAAACAAACAGTTAGCTGCCACTTGAGCTATCTTAGCCTTTAATGAGCCATTAAGCTCCCACTCAACCACCTAGCACTTGCTAAGCCGGTGAGCTCCCACTAAGTCACTTAGCTCCCACTAAGCCAATGAACTCCCACTGTGGCTAAGTGTTTTAGACATATACTTGAAAAGACATTTAGAAGATGATTCTATCCATAATTGAATATGGCGTCCTTCCTTAGCTTCAACATTTTGTTTAGTGTAACATTAGTCCTTCATGCAAATCTTAAGAACTTTATAGGAAGGGATGTGATTAATCATTGATCGAGTCATTTTTAAATGGCATTGAGGTCTCCGTGAAGACACACTATGTTCTTTGTGGAGTTAGTTATGAAAATTTTAATTTCATAACTTTGTGATGGTCACGCTTAGCTCAAGCAACACTAGTACAAAACTAGCCTCAAGTAACACCAAAAAAGTGTTACATAAAGTGGTAAAAGTGTTATTATAGACATTAGGTAACAGTTTATTGGGTGATACTTCCGCCCATGTTACCTAAGATCTTATGAAAGACTTTGGGTAACATATGGTAATACTTTCAAAAGTGTTACTATAAATCCTCTTATGTAACACTTTTTATATTATAAGTATCATTTTTAAAGTGTTACTTTTTATTTCTTACTTAACACTTACTTATCTTTAGTAACATTTTTCAATCATATAGTATCACTTTATCCGACATTACGTATCACTTTTTCAAACTAATGTAACACTTTGTTGATTATTAGGTAACATTTTTCAATTATCTTTTAACATGTAATAACTCTTTATTTGACATTGTGCATCACTTTTTACAAACTAATGTAACTTTTTTTTTTTTTTTTTTGAGGAAAATGTAACACCTTATTTATTAATAGTTAACATTTAATAATAATAATAATAATAATAATAATAATAATAATAATAATAATTATTATTATTATTATTATTATTATTATTATTATTATCATTATTATTATTATTATTATTATTATCTACAACAACTATATGAATGAGAAATTACATATATGATAGACATCAATTTGGATTGAAATAATTTCATAGTTCTTACAAAATAAAATCCATACACCTATTTTAATGTTTGTCCCAACAATATAATAATCCAAACAAAAAGAAATTCAACTTCAATCTCTAGCATAGAAAGAGCGAGGAAATAAGAAAAACTTCAAATTTTCAAAAATTAGTCGGTAATAGCGGTGAACAGCAGATAGCTAGCAGAACAGCAGCAGTAGTAACATAAGCTACCAGTGGCAGTATATAGCACCAAACAGCAGTAGCAGACAGCGGTGGCAGCAAATAGCAGTGGCAGCAAACAGCAGTAGCAGACAGCGGTGGCAGCAACCAGCAGTGGCAGCAAACAGCAGTAGCAGGAGTCAGCAACACACATCAGTGGCAGCAAACAATAGTAGCAAAACATCAGTAACAACAGCAGTAGCAGCAGCCCGCTCTTATTGTTGTGGATGATGCAGTTTGTGGTGTAGAGGGGCAGGAGTGGCCGCTCCTAGGGAGGTTCACGACACCCTCTCCTTTTTATCATCTTCCTCAACTTTCTTTGCAAGTTTGTCAAATCTTCTTATACCTACAAGCATTAACACAAACACACACAAAAGCGGCAGCAATGCCAAAATACAACTATATACAAGAGAGTTAAGAGAGAGGAGAAAAGTAAGAGAAATGATTATAAAAGCGGTTAGGATTACCACAATAAGTGGACAAATAAACCACTTATCAATCATGAACCAGTCATGTTTAGCTTGCTAGTCAAACATAAGAGAGGTACCAATGCACGAGGAATGAACAAGTAAAGAAAGAAAAAATAAGTACCTTTTGTGGCGGTATTTTTTGTTCTTTTTAAGTTATAAAAAAAAGGGATTCACTGTTCAAACTCATAAACAATCTTCCCTCTTACATAGCATCAAGTAAATTGTAGACATTCTGAGGAAAAAAATGCTAAATAGCCAACTTCTAATATATTAGCCAAATGAAAAATAGACCTAATTAAAATAAAGCAACCTCGTGATCAAACTTCAGTAACAGCAGCTCTTTCAAGAAACTAAGAATTAAATCTATGCACCAATAAAAAAGAAATAGGGAAAGCAAAACTACCAATAATTCTTACAGTATCTCTACTGAACATTGATTAGAACTTCACTATATTACTGGAAGTTAAAAGCAATTACCACATGATCAACCTTCTATCCTTAATTTTCACTCATAAGCTTCATTAGTATTGTGAACAAGTCAAAATTAGGCCACATGATTGGGAAAAAACACATTTTAGATCATTATTTGGATTCATATTGCTAAGTAGAGAAGCATTTTGCAGTGGAAAGTTGGTTTTAGTTAGTGAAGATAAAAAACTATAAGGTCAAAGAAGGTAGTTAACTATTTATTAACCAATCTAATCTCAAGGGTAACAATGGCTCCAATATTGGCACTCACAAAATAAAAGTTAAATCTGTATATATCAATGTTGCATCGTAAAAGTTTAAACTAAAAGATGGTGAAAGAACCCTAAATTATTACATGCATTTCGTTACCTACTTAATCAACTAAGAACTCCTAACCTAACTTCTCATTCTTCGTTTTGCAAGATACAGTTTTAGATACATTTGAAAGACTAAATCTTCCACTTAAAACAATCAACATCTTAAGATTGATTGCAATGTTGATAATAAAATGAGTGTGAGTTTGTTTTACTCATGACATAATACTATTTTTTACTACCTCCGTCCCCAAAAGTTCGACCCTTTTGGCCTAATTTTATTCCCAAAATGATCGACCCATTTACATTAAAAATACCTACCAATTTGCAACAATATTTGTGCAAAACTAGCTTCTCCATATAAAATTTTGTTTTTCCATATACTTTTATAACTCTCTCTTTATTTTTTTAAAAACCCCATATAAATTTATGTTTCTAATGTATTTTTACTTCTTTTTATTTAACTTTCTTAATACCCGCAAAATCAACCCAAAAGGGTCGTTCTTTCAAGGACAGAGGGAGTATGATAAATGTGTATTATGTATTCGAAAGATTTGAAAACTATTAAATAGACTTTGTCCAATTTTCAATCTAAGTTAGATCTAATAAAGCGTGTTGTTATTTAATCCCCCTCCTAATGTATTAACCTGTTGCCTGCATATTAACAACTTTCTCATATATCTAAGCATTTTTTTAACTTTTTGTAGTCCTTTAAAACAAATGTTGATATAATTTCCCAAGCCTACACTCTGCACTTCAAATAGTCCTAATTATCAAGTGTAAGATCTATGTCTAGGTAGAGGTCGATGTGATGTTGTCATACATAGTATGCACTTCAATTAGAGACCTTTTTCTACTTACAGTATCCAATTTTGAGAAAACATTAAATACAAAACCAAAACACACAAATTCAAAATCAACAATCCAAACTCCAATTACCGATCAAGAACTCACAAAATAATATTTTTTAAAAATTAAAACTACATTAAACACAAATCCAATAACCGTTCAAAATCCAATTAAAAAATAGCTATAATCTAGATTGTAATAATTATTAGATTCTTGAAACCACAAATCAGAAAATACCTGAAATTGGACGCACAATGACAAAAGTGCACAAAAATTGCAGAACAATGTAATGATAGCAGATGATGTTTAAAAATTGATATGATGAAGAAGCAGAACAAAGTTTAGAGAGACTAAGAGAGAAAATAGTTGATGAATTTGCACCAGGAATTCACCATTTCAATTGTTTATTATAATTATAATCTAGCTTAGAAGAACCCTAAATTAACTGAATGGAAAATTAAACTAATGATAAACCCCAGATTGTGGAATTGATATATGATTGTTACAAATTACAATATATATCTTACCTTAGAAGCTGCTTCAAAGGAGGAAAGAAAGTTAAGAATTCGCTTCAATGGAGGATTTAGAGTGTGCACATAAATTGAGGAAAGAAATGAGATTAAAACGATGGGAGGAGAAGCGTGTTGAGAGAGAGAGACAAAATGATTTGAGGCGTAGATTGGTAAATTGGGGATTAGTCAGTTTTTAAGTCGTAAATGTTTCTTTTTACTTTTTTTTTTTAAATAAAAAACCGTAACACATGTTAGTATTACTAACAAATGATACTTACTTAAAAACTAATACATTATAGTGTTACTTATGCAAAAAGTGTTACAATGAGTGTTACATTCTACAACAATGTTACCAAAGTGTTACTTATAAATCTAATAACTTCACATTTCAAAAAGTGATACCAACACGTGTTACATAAACTCTATTATGTACTAGTGCAAACATCGCTCGAATCTAGACGTTTTGATATCTTGCCAAGACGATTATGTACTTCACTGAACCCTCTTAAACTATTCAAGGTCAAGTTTGTTCACATTTGATGAATATAGCCATATTCTTTCAAATTCTTTGTGCGACGTTGAAGTAAATGAATCCTCTTTAGCTTTCGGAATCAATTGTCTATACCAAGAACAATAACTCTTTACTTTGTCAGTTTCAACAAGTAAGACTTGCTTGTCTTAGAACGATTCTGAATCGATCAACTATCAAGAGCCTATCTAATAGAGCCTTGAGTACGTTCTTGTCGATGTGACACTGCTAAAGATGTTCAAAACGCAAATCATGCCCATGAATTTGAGCTTTTGCTATTTTATCATGTTAAGATAATTTTTGTTTAGGGTTTTTCTCAGCTATACCCCTAAGGTATTTGAGAATCTAAGGTGTACCCATGCTTTTTCAAGTGTCTAAGCTGTGCCCTTCAACTCCTTATCAATACTAAAATGTACCCTTATAAGTTGTTTAAAAGTTATTTGAGAGTGTGATTTCGTGGCTTCAGTTTTCATTATTAGGGTTGCGATGGCTAAGATTTCTTTCTCCTACTATTTCCTTACCTTTATCATATTTCTATTAAATTTATAGTTAACTTTAGTGACGTGGGAATCCCAAGGAGGGTACCATTCATTAATGGTAGTGAGTTGAGGGGCACAACTTAGAAACTTGAAAAAGCATGGGTACACCTTAGAAACTCGAATACCTAAGGGGTATAGCTTAGAAAAACCCTTTTGTTTATAATCAAGCATTCTTGACAACCATGCCATTCAAATAAATTTGCAACTATTTCTCATTGCTTTGAATGTGAGTCTTTCCGTGTGTAAACAGATCAATTGCTGATTATGGAACACAATAACCATTTATTTGTTCCAGCCTTAGCTTAAAGGCCTTTAAACAAAGCATACGTCCTTACAATTGATGTAGCACCAGTTGCTTCATTCTTAGCTTGTAAGTCGATAACTTAACTTATCTTCAATAGTTTGAGGTCACTTTTAAAGTGGAACACTCAAGCACTATTCGATACTTGTGAAGATAATGAATTGCTAAGTTAACTACAATAATATGAACTCATGGATTGAAATGGAATCTTATTTCTTTTCTTTGTTCCTCGTTTCCTATATTTCTTATCATACTTTATCTCATAATCTTTTAAGAACCATTTCTTTAAGAGTCTCTGACTTTTATACTTTGTTAGGCATAATTAAGCATCTAATGCGCCGTAAAATAAAGTTCCATCTTTTCCTTTAATTCACGCTTGAATTACTACATCAATGAGTCCTACTCATCTATGTATTAAGCGAAAAGATATGTTGGTTGTCAATATTGACAATTTGAGTTTGCAACTCAATACTTCATGTTTTATCAAAACTACCTAGTATTTTGAATACATGATGTCCAACCGTCCTTTCGGACTTTGTTATAAAAGTCATTTATGAGAATTGTATTTTAGAAATGCTTAACTTTTCTTTGAGAACCATTCTCAAATATTTCCTTTACCAATCATGGAAAGCAATACAGTTTGATTTGGAATTCTACAAATATAAGTGCAAAGTATAACTTATCAAGTAAATAACATAATAAGTTTGAAAATTAAAAGGTATTCATGCAAATCTTCAATTTTATTAAATGTATTATCCACGCATTAAAATTGTCCCCATTTGGCGAGAATAAGTCGATTCCAAGATCCAAAGAAACAAAGAGTGGTTAAGCATGCTTTGGCTTGTCTTAACATTCAATATCCTCAGGTAAGCAACGCTTTGCTAATGGCTCCAAGCCACTCTTGGTTGAATAAATCGTCGCATATAATGCTTTCTCAACAATTTATTCATTTTGCCACGACATGTTAAGACTCCATCACTCATATCGTTGAGTACAACCAAAACCAACTTGCATACCCGGTATGCCTTACGTTCCTTGGAGAGGTAGTGCTGCCTTGCTTTGGCGTTGCCCACCACTACCCTCGTTCGGTCGATAAGTGTTGTTTTTGAATGGAAATTTTTACTCAATATTTAGGGACTTAGGGTTTCTATGTTGGTTGATTTAAGTGAACTTAATTAATCATCACAACATTCAAAATCCTAAACATGCATCTAACATATAATTCATATACATAGACATATATATATATATATATATATATATATATATATATATATATATGTCGAAACAAATAAATAGAGATGCATTTAGCAACTAGCATGACCCCTTGAGATCTTCAAATCTTCAAAAGGTCTTCATTTGCAACTTCATCGCTTCGTCTTCCAAGAGTTGACCAAAAATAAATGTAACTACTAGTATCTACGATTAGGACTAATCTAAATAATAAGGTACAAAAATACTCAACGGTTTGCAGACCGTATTTAGATTTACAAAAATACATCACGGATCACAGTCCGTATTTTCTATCCTAATCGGATCCCACTAGTTGCCATTTCATAAAACCCGTGAGAGAATATAAATTCCATTCATCCATTCACTATCTGTGAATGGCCCATGCATTTTACGACGATAAACAAGTAACAATGCATAAACAAGCGAGAACTAGTAACTAATCTAGGTGGTTAATCCGATTAACACACCTAATTAAAACTAGTCAAAGTTGTTTTAACCGATTATGTCAATAAGCGCAATTAATATTTGAAGCTCCCACTAAATTCCGCATCCAACTCAATTAATCCAATTAAGCCAGTAAAACCTAAAATTTGTCAAAATAAATTTTGCCAATGCCGCTCAAAAACCGAGGCCTAGCCTCCAAAATTTATTCAAATAATTAAAACCAAATTAGATTAATAAAATAATTAAAACGACAATTTAAGCAAAAATTACATAGTCCAAAATGTCTAAGTGCCTAGCACTAAGACATGGAGTGCTCACACCCCGCACAACCGTTTGATGCTCAATGAACGTGGGAGTGGGCCCGATGTCGCTAAGCGCCGCCCACATCAGCGAACTTTCACACATCAATAACGTGGCCCTTGATGGCCATGATATACGAACTCATTGCACTAAATTGCTTCGCAAGCAACGTCTACGCATATTCACTTTTACATGACGTATGCACCAAGCCCAAGCACACCATGCTCGTGCACCACACCCACGTACAACAGCCCTTGATGCACGCACGCACGCACCATCAAGGCAGCGTGCTGCTGCTGCTATGCGACCGTGCACACCTAGCCACGGCTTGGCTGCACGCACCCTCAAGGCAGCCCCTTGACATCCACATGCGGGCTGCTATGCAGCCTGGCTAGCCAAAGGTGCTTATGCCTTGATTTGCGTTCCATAGCCACGAGACTTTGATCCCAAAATTTTCCGTGACATTATAATTAATTCTAAATTAATTTTAGAACTAATTTATTGAGCAAAATGAAAAATTTAAACTAGTCTAACTTAAAATAAAATTTTCAAAGTGCATCTAACCAAAATAATTCTCAAGAACCATTCTTTAATTAAATTGGTTTAACTTTGTGCAACAAAAATAAGAGGGCAATTACTCACTATTAATTTAATTAATTTAAATTAATCTTGAGTTTTTGACAAAAATAAGAGGGAGTTGGAAAAATGAACATAAGTTCAATAAATATTCCAACTTTAATACTTGTGAATCCTTGAAAAATTATATCTTCCAATATGAAGATAAACAAATTTCTATCACAAGTTTCAAACTTTATGATTCCAATCAACTAAAAAATGATTAAATCAACAAATTTCAACAAAAATTCATGGAATTTAGTAACTCAAAGTTTCAATCACTAACATAATTAAAGATTGAATCTTTAGTTCTTGGAAGCCTCGAAGAACAACGATTTCACACATAATGCAATTAGTTTGCAATTATGTGAAAAATAAAACCAAGCTTTCAAACACAAATTAACACCAAGTAATCATGCCTAAAGAGGTTTAGAATTGCATATAAAATATGTATTGAACCAATTACATAACCACCATAAATATGCAATTAATTTTCAAGGTTAGAAAGACTTAAAATTTTTCGTCGAAACCAAAAATCCCTCGAAAAATGCATTTTTAGTCGTTTTATGGCTAAAAACCGAGTCCTGGAAGGGTAAAAACATTTCCAGAACGCCTTTTCCACCCAAAATTCACTATTTTTGGGTCGAAATCTGGTTTCGGGGCTGATGACTGCTTTAATACGAGGTTAAAATAAATAAAACGAGCTACTAATCTAATTAGCAACTCAAAACCAGAAAAATTAAGTCATAAAAACACCTTGAAAAATATTATGATTTTAAAAATAAACAAGCGAGGCTCCGATATCAATGATGGGGTTTGGTGAGTCCAACTCACCGCGGAAACAAACCAAAAACCAAGACCGCACTCGCAATAAATAAAACCATAAACATAAATAAATTAATCGCAAGATTAAGACAAGATAATTACCTTTGAAGTGTGCTTCACCCAAACGGAAGGGACTCTTACTTCGAAAGCTAGCCTCGAAAATACGACGGCCTCCAAGGATAGTCCACCCACAACTCGACCACCAAAAACGGTTCAATGCCTTGGAGTTAGCAAGGCCCGTCCAAAACCCGAGTGATTAGTGAGTTCAAAGGTTTTCACAATGGTGATGCCTTTTTCAACTCTCACTCAAGTGTTTTTCCCAATACCCCAACTTGGGTATTTATAGGAAAAATAAGAGAGTGAAAATCTCTCCCATCAATTTGGGAGAATTTGATTTTTCCATTTTATTTTAAAGCTAAAATAAAATTAATAATCAAACTAATAATAAATCAACAAGTGGCAAGCTCATGTGAGAGATTAGGTGAGGACCATTTGGAGGAGGGGGGGGGGCAAACTTGCTCCCCACTCTC